CACTGATCTTCTGCATTGCTCTCAGTGTATGTTCTCCATTTATTGAATGGTGATAAAAAGGCAGTGTTGATACAATGTCTCTGCGGGACTCTCTTTATATTCTTCATCCTTACACTTTACTTTAGTATCTTAATAAGGGTAGACACTAGTAGAGGTCCCATATTGTGCCCCTTTTCAAAAAATTATTGAAAACTTTACATGTCCCTCAAATGTATCTTTCAGTTTTCAGCTCAAAATACTGCGAAGATGGTTTATTTAATTATAACTGTTTAACGCCAGTTCTGAACAGGCGGTGTAAGTGTGTGTAGCTTTAAATCAAGCTGAGCTGCTGCTGTCCACGCCATCTTCAGGAAGAAGACTGTCTCTCTCTGCTGTAATTGACAGTGTGGAGCAAAACAGTTGACCACCCATCAGCCAACTGAGACCTAAATGAATGTGTGAGATCAGGAACTTCCATCACCTCTAATTTCCTTTTTGAGCAAACATTTTACTTAAAGCTGAATTCACAGCTCTGCTGTTGTTTTTAATTCATGTGTATGATGCGTTTAAGATGCTGTGACCGTGATAACATCAGTAATTTAGCGGTGTAGAACAGCCACTTGGAAATGGCTTTGAAGTGACTGCTGATCAACATGTAGTGTTAATGGACTACATTTCAGTCTATATTTAATGTTTATTTCTTAGTCTGACAAAAAGAAACAGAATAATATGTTTTTAAAAAAAAGCAAAAAAAAAACACCTTTATTGCGAATTTGGTTGTATTAAAACACAATATGTGTGAGCCCAGAAAGCAAAAAAAGGTAAACACTGGTTGAGTTTAAGTTTCATTGAAGCACAACAGGCAACAAAAAACACAACCAACAACCATCCCTAATTTATTGGTCAGAGATCAACACTGATTTCTGACCAGTGGGTACCAAAGCTAATGGTAACGTTAAACTCATTGGAGGCAAATGTGTTAACATTAAGGCTTTTCCTGTTGTTGTGGTGACATTGCCATAAAAAATGAAAGTAATCCGCTGGTTCTTCTTGTGTTCACTGCTGCAGCCGACAGCAGAACCTTTGGTATGCTTTGCTTGTGGCTGAAAAAATTCAGAGTTAGCAGATGCAGCTCTAAAAAGCAAATAAACTAAGCAGATTATGAGGTAGCTGCTTGTTAAATGGCAACCTGGATGAAGCAAGCAGTGAGGGGGCAGGACTATGGACAATGATGACTACTGTCATCAACTACTGAGTCACATATCTAACTCTTGAGTTGTTAAATGCTCAAATGTGTCCACCAGCTAGTTACTATTCTTGTTTATGTGTACTGCTTGGTGCTGAGCAGACAGTGCCAGCGGGTTTGTAGCTTTTTGTTTTTTTTTCTGAAAACAGCTGCTTGCAGCCTGTAGCTGGAAAAGAGCCTGATGAGAGTGGTGAGTGTGAGCCAGAACACCGAAACACCAAACCAAGACAATAAAAAAAAAGATCCTGGAAAGCTCCATAGAGCTGTGGAGAGCTGAATCAAATAAAGTTTTGTTTTTGTGAGTATCCTTCTTTGCATCCAAGCAGTCATCTGACAAAAACAGCTATGGTGACTTTAGCCACAGTTTGTATCAAATGACAAATAAACTGCCCTTACTTTTCTGTTTTTGCTTTATTGCAGCAACTGTACAAAATGTTGGTGTGTCTCTCCAGTCATATAAACCAGGGGATCAAACTGGCATCCCTGAGACAACCTGCTTTACCTCTTAAGTCACACAAACACACCTGTCTGCTTAAACACGCACATATGGAACAGCCTTAAAAACATCTGAGCAAGAACAAGCACCTTTGGCTTAAAAAACATAACATAACCCTTGCCCTGAATAAAAAGGAAGAAATTCTCACGAGGGAATTTAAAGAGACTGATTTATCTCTGCCATGAAACAGCAGCTCACATGCATCGCCTCCGGCTCCATCACAGGTGCAGCATATAACGTAGAAACTGAGAGACAGGTTAATATACAAACTGCAGACGATGTTAGAGACATTACATGCAGCATGATTAAAAGCACATGGGAAAGGATACGAACATGAAGGGAAAAGTGTACAGTAAATGTGATGAAGTCTTGCGAAACATCTTTATGACAGAAAAGCAGGGCAGCAACCTTTAACTTATTAGTCCAGAATAAATCTACAGAAGTCAGCATTCCTGCTCCTTTACTGTATCTGCTTTCTCTCCAACATACATGAAACACACACAGGATAGAAATAAGTCTGTCATCGTGGAACGTAAAATCCCACGACACAAAACTTATAATGACTAGTTCCTCTGGTGGCTTCATGTACACATACAGATTTCTATGTTTCCAGGACTCTCATGGTAAAATGTGTCATATAGACTGCAGTGTACTGTTTCAAGCAAAATGTTTTAGCTCTATTTTCTTTCTGTGTAAGGTTGGTAGCAAGCACTATCCAAATTAATAAGCTTCGTAACACATTTTATTAACGGACTGTTAGAAGAAGGTTTCACATTAATGATACAGCCATGTTTACCTTAGGAACATATTTCATTTGAAAAAACAGAAATTCTTATGCTTTCCAATGAGTTTTAGCCAGAAGCATTTCTTTAACAACCATTTTCAGCTATTTTGGAAACAGAAATTGTCAAATTTGTTTTGCTTGGTCCCTGATTCAATACTGTGTTCTGTCATATTTATTGTGTATTTGGCTAAATGCTCTGCTCTCAGTCCTTACTGTATCATTCAGAATTATTTACCGCCTGACTTATGAGCTGCTACAAGTTCTATTTTCACATTTTGGATAATACTGGTGGTCTATAATCTGTTAACATTGTGTGTGTTAGTGGCTCTGGATCAAACTACCAGGGATGATTTTCGCATCATGCTCTCATCAATTACGGTTGAGGATGAGTTGTCCAAATTTCCAAACAGCTCTGCGTATTTTTGTAACTGCTTTATCCGTCAAGGGAAAAACCTCATCGGTTGGACATGCATGGGCTGATTTCACAGCATTATTGGTACCCTCTACATGACACTGTCAGACACTAAACTTTGTGTTGTATAGCTCAGGCCTAATGCCACTCTTTCTTAAACACAATTAAAGCAGATGGTGCCTTAACAAAACAATGGGACAAAGACTGCAGTATCTCTTCAAACCTTCATTTTGAAATAAAGAAATATTAGAAATTACAAATTGCTCAAATCCTTACAACACAGAATTATTCGTGCATGTATTTGCCCCTGCTTCAAACCGAGGTTCAGTCAAAGAACCTGGCTGAACACAGGAGCTTGGCAGTGTCTCTCTCTCTGCATAATGATTCTGGCAGAAGAGTACGGATAAATCTGTCTCGAGAGACGAGACAAGGAAAAGCACTTTACAAAAAGAGAAGAGCAAAATGTAAGTTCTCAAGGCGGATCGAAGCACAGGATGTGAAAGAGAGAAGGAGAAGCCCAAAGGATTTCTGATTAGATCTAGTATCTCTCTTCTCAATCTGCCACCTCGGTGTGTGAAAACCCAAGAGCCCATGTGAAAGCAAACCCAAGAGCCACCTCTAACAAACAACAACACGTTCATGTGAAAAGTCAAGAGGAAGGACTGTTAAAAACTTGAGGCAGGCCCGTCCTCCTGGGAGAGTCAAGGAATCAAACGGGAAAGGCCTCTGCAGCGACTGTGTGTTTGTATGTTTGCGAGCATGTGGGGGGTAGGAACCAAATATCCTCCGCTTGCCATTCTGTCTCTGCAGGACACTTCCAGAACGGTAACAGCCACCCCTCCCACCCCTCCCACCCCACTGTTTGCCTGTTGACGTAGACCATAGGGGCTTGGACAGTGGAAAGGACAGACGCTGACAGAAACAGTAAGACAACATTCTGAGACAAGAGGGAAAATCACACAACCTATTTCTCGTTGAATTGTAACAGATCCCAGATACTGTTCAGCTGCAGTTCATTTAGAAGTCTGAGACTGAGGTTACTGGGGTATTGTGTTCCCCTTTCTGTAGATGTCTTCAAAATTTTCAGAATCTAATTGTTTTTTGTTTTTTTTCCAAGTTCATAAGCTAGTATTTAAATGCAATTTATATGTAAATCTGACTAGAAACATTTTAAAGGAATCCTTTTTTAAAGAAATACACCTCTTCACTAGCAGGCGGTAGTGTAGACATTGACAAGACTTTCATACCTGTACAGTAATTACAAGGCTACAGCCGGCAGTCATTTAGCTCACTGCAGAGACTGGAAACAGGTTCCAAAGGTAGCTTGGTTCTGCTAAATGTTGAAAATCCTTCCTCTGAGCAGCGGCCAGACAGCCAGCAGAGAAGAAGCAGAGAATCCTTGTAGAAACACCTTGGTTAAGCTGTGCTAACCAGCTGCTGGCTGTACAGCTTCATAGTTGCTGCATACATATGAGGTATAAAGCTTCTTCTCAAACAACCCACTAGAAAACAAATACACTTACTGTCCTATTCCAAAAATGTTGAACTATTTCTTTCAGTTACCTGTCACAACAAAACAGAATTTGACTCATTTCATATATTAAAGAAATGTCAAACTGCTCCTAGAATGAAATATCGCTATATTTAACCACACTTCTAATTTTACAGGTTTTACTTTTTTTACCACATGAAACCAGAACTGATGCTACCCTCATTAACATACAGTTTTTTTTACAGACTGGAGGCTCAGCTGGCTTTGCCACAACCCTCCAGGCTCTCGCCTTCAAAGGAAACCTTTCCTCCCAGAAAGCACTTCTTCTACCTTTAACTAACCAGAGACCCCACAGAGCAGCCCCATCCAGTCACAACTACACCACAGGCTCGTTCTGCTTTTGCAAAGTGAAAGCATAAGGTCTGAACTGGGCCTATTAAAGCTTTAACAACATGTTGTCCTCTGAAGTGAGCTTACTAACTGTCAAAGCTGCACATAGTTTTCTACCATAAGAATAAACGAAAAAGCAAGGAGTGTTTAAAGTTGTGGCAAATGCTTTCGCTTTTTATCGGTTGGGGAATGAAAACTCACCATACTGACATCGCGTCCCTTTGAAGCCCAGTGGACACTGACATACACGGTCTCCAGTGTCTGCACATCTCCCACCATTGAAACAAGTGTTTGCACCACACACTCCTGCAGATACAACATATCATACACCATAATGTGGCTTATGTGTTTATGTTTGTGTGTATTTCTGTACATACAAATCTGCTGGTGTGTCTATGTTTCTGTCAAGCCAGTTCAGTTACTACCTAACTGGTTCACACTGTGTAATGACAATAAAGAGCTTCTGTTCGATTCTACTACTGAACCAGAACTATGTGCTGTCAGTGAAATGCTGTTACTCACGATGCAGACAGCCCATCTCTTCCCCCTTCTGAGTCCAGCCAGGGCAGCACTTATAGACTGTGTGCAAATCCATGTTGTACACTTGCCTGTATGCTGTGTAGTATGCTATCCTGAGGAGGAAAGATACTGTTACCATACCTTGTTTCGGGTAGTTACATTATCAGCTCTTAGGAACCATTTCACGAAGACAAGATGAAATTAAGTCTTCATGATTTTCAGCACCATAGAACAAAATCTATGTTACTCAATGAAAATAATTCATGTAATTCATATAACTCCAAATGATCTCCATAAGTCATTATAGGAGGACATTGTCAGATGCTTTACAAATAAATGTATGCATTGTGTGACTATAAGATAATCATCCTCAAACCTAGAGGACAGGAGAAATGAAACAGAGGGTGTCCATCCTTGCTTTGCAAAACCATTGGCTGGGAAAACTTCTTGCAATAGGTGTTTGTATAAAACAAGTCTCTACGTCACTACCTACTCCAGTCATGCTTTTTATTGAAATGTCTGGGAACTAGTCTTGTTTAAAAATATTTCTGCATCGTAGAAGCATGATTGCTCTCACCTCCTCTCGTAGCCCATACACCATTGGTGGTGTGTGCAGCCCTGCTTCCACACCTTTGCCATGCGGGAAAACGCTTGTACACAAGGCTGACGGATCCCCAACATGGACATCTCCTGTTCAGCACAAACATTTGGCCTGTGCATGAAAAATACAACAAAGAATTGGAAAAGGGCATTGACTGGTTCAATCAAAAGTACCGTTTCTTCACTAAAAATCTGCAGAATTTTGAAAAATCTATCACATATGATGATATCAAAGACCTAGACATGCACTTCACTGTCACTTTGTTGTACAGTTGAGGTTGACTGGATTGAAAGTTGGGTGCAAACCTGCTGCAGAGCTATAATAAATCCAACAGACATCAACTTCCACATGCACTACATATGTTTAGTTACAAGAACATCAACTAATGACAAAACTTTGTCAAACATTTAGGCAGCTTCCTGTCTGCTTGATTAGAAAGAAAACAATGATTTGTAAACTGAAACCCAACAAACCGATGAAATTCCGAAAAGAAAAGAAAAGAAAAAAAAATTGTGTGCATGTATGTGGATGCATGCACAATGTGTAGCTCATTTTAAAAAAATAATTAATAAAAAAATGTAAATTTCAAAACAAAACGCCTGTGGGTTGAACTTATCAGCACTGTGTTATAGCTATCTTGTATCTGTCAGTGCAGGTAAACTGTCCAGAGGTGTCCTGCTCCACAAAACATCTGGCTTCAATACACAGCAGCCTGAAGTTAATTAGAGGAAGTATTCTGCTTCTCCTGTAATGAAAACGATTCCTTCAATCACGTCCTGCACAGTCTTTTTAAATACCGAAACCTCTGGTTTTTCTATCCAAAAAATCACATTCCTGTGGAAGTTATTGTGCAGATGCACGTTACAGCAGTGCTATAAAATACACTTGCGTTCTCAGGGGGGACCTGAAAGAGAGACTCCTAGTGGGCACTGAGATGAATAACACACAGACGAACTGTAAAGTAACATTTACAAAAGCAAAGTTTAGTTTTTTGTAAAACTTTGGCTATGTAATCGTGTTGATGTAAAATGTACGCAATGGCGCAGTGTTTTTCCTTTTTTACAGCCTTTAGACGCGCAGCCTTTCTCATTCACCTGATCATTCATAAAATCTAATAAGTGTAAATAAAAAACATTTTTTTTAAAAAGTGCAAACGATGTCGATTACAACAAGTTACTCACATGCCAAGCTGCAGCTCCAGAGATGACGCGATGTGCAAGGTGCTGAATGATAAAACACACAAAATGAAAATATGTGGGAACATAATTTCAGCCAGTTGCGCACACGGAGAGAAGTGTTCAGTCGGCGCAGCCTCTGTTCCCGTCAAATGAAGAGCATCCTGACATCTATGCAAGTCCGCCTATAGGCTCGACTCCAGAGTTGATGGCTTTCATCGATATATTCTCGATTTTCTCGGCACTGGTGAAGCAGAGGGACGACTTGGCTCATGTCAACAGCAGCCTTTGAATGGCTCCGAGTAAACGCACCACCCACAGTCTATGTGGGGCCATCTCCCCAAATCCCCGGAGACACTGACATGTGCAGGAATTATTATTAACACAGACACTCATGCTTTATTTAACTATTTTAACAAATTATGCAATATGCGTGGCTGTTGCAAAAGACAAAAATATATCTCCAAATTTTTCGTCTAAGATCACAGAATACCACGTTCAGAAATTCTGCAGCCTTTGTGAATAAAAAATAGGAGTGGACTAATTCAATTTCCAATTCAGTTCTATTTTTTTGCATAGTGCCCATTCATAACACATGTCATCTCAAGGCACTTCACATAGTAAGGAAAAGACCATACAAAATTATAGAGAGAAACCCAACAAATCCAAAGCTTCCTTTAGAGACATTCTTTGGCCGCAGTGGGAAGAAAAAAAAACTCTCCCTCAAAAGCAAGCAAAACTCTTTATAAAGCAGCTCATCACACAGAGAGGTTAGTCAAAGAGCTTTATAGGAAAAATAAAGGGGGAAAAAAACATAAAAGAAAAAAAATGTTCAAGATTTTTAATGGATAAACTGGGGGAAAACGGGGGAATTTTACCTCATAAGTCAGTTTGATTAACATAAACATAAGATACATTTCTTTTCAGATGTTGACACTGCTCTGACTTTAAGTGCATGTTAGATAACGTTAGAGGCTATAAAGTTTATTTTAGAATTTTTAAAAAGGATTTAACTGTTGCCAGTTAAATTTGAAAGACAAATTACAAATAGAGGTTCTAACTTTATTAGAACTTCAATATCGCTGATGATTAAATTAAAACATAAAACTAATGCCAAATCACCAACTAGAAGGGAGATTGTGGTGAGGGGGAACTTCTTGCCTCATTTTATCTGACTGTTGACAGCTTTATATAGTTGAGATAAATTAAATGTATTCTTATTTCAAAGGATTTTTTTGTTAACCCCTGTCATTTGCACGTGGAACCCAAATTATAAATACATAGGAACCAAATAAATGAACCAAATTTCCGCGCTGGGTGCCATCGATGTCACTTCCGCTGAGGGTCCGGCTCTTCCGGTGTTCAGCACCAACAGAGGAAGAAGAGAGGTTCTTCCTCTCCCAGATCAACAGAAGGAGATGCCCGACAATTTCATCAACTGTAATACTTGCACAAAACTTAACATTTCGGAGTAAATTTAGAAGTTTTATTCTGTTTAGAGTCTGTAGAAGACGCTGTTTGAAGACATATCTGTATTTAACAACAAACCAGACGGTAAGATAACCTTGCTAACGCGCTAGCTTGAAATGGCGCTAAGCTATGGTGTTTTTTGTCACTTTTCTTCACTTGTCCGACCACAACTAAACTACAGCGTCAGACTGCAACATGTTTCTTTAAATAGTGGTAGTTGTTAGTTTCAGAAAGATTTACATAGCTGCTGTATTGGCTTTCAAGTGATAGCCAGTTATACATACCATTGTTGATGGTAGCGTTATGTTAGCATTAATGAAACATAGGTTCTGTAATGGAAACAATAGCTGTTAAGTGCTACAGTCAGTATTGTTGCTAACTGGTGAATGGTCTCCCTTTGTGTCCCTCTGCGATATCAGAAGACATTTTTATTTTATTTTTTTAATCATATGATGTTGTCACGAGCATGTTTCCATCTCCAACCCCTCCCTACCTCTCTAATTCAGTATCAGGCTATTCAACAGGAGATTCGTGTTGTGTTAAATATGTAGTGGACAGAATAGGGAACAGAAAAAGGTGTGCCAATAAGTATGCAGGGTGTAGCAAGTTCTACAAGGCTGAAAGAAAGTGAAACTATTTTAGTCCATGGGTTTCTCATTTACTTCTGCTATCAAATCATTTCACAGAGCAAAATGAACGGAGCTGCATTCCCCTCCCCCACGGCCGAGATGGCGGAGATAAACCGTATCCAGTATGAGCTGGAGTACACCGAAGGAATCAGCCAGAGGATGCGCATCCCAGAAATGCTCAAAGTGGCCCCTCAAACCCATGATGACCCCAATGTTGGATCGCAGGAGGTCCCCCATAGTGTCATAATGCAAGTCCCAGAGAGAATTGTGATTGCAGGTTGGTATGATACTGTGATATCCGAAAGGAATATTCTAAAAAGTCTGACTTGTTAATCCCAAACTTCACAGAACTCGAGAATATTAAAAAGCAACATAATTATTTGGAGAGGGACATGCAGCATACGAGCTGCACGTACATGTTACTGTGTGTCAGAAGCTGAGGGACACAAAACATCACTGAATATGACAATTATCTTGACATAGCCTACTATACATATGGCACATACAACACATCGTCTTATTTAATGTCTATATTCCAATTAATAAATAGTTTTTTGTCAATTTCTTAGATGGAATTAATACTATCCTTGGTGCTTTGGCAATTAAAGACTGTTGAATTGTGAAACTGTATACTGTAAAACATTGTGTCAATCTAGGGGCTGTTTTTTCTTTGTTGTTCAAAGTCTTTTATAACACATGAACTCTGCACCTCATCGGTGACTGTCAGGTGACGATAATCTAACTATTATGTGGCTTTGTCACAGCCATTGATAGATAATGGATATCACTCTCTTTGTCCGTTCTGCCCCCAAGAGGTTGCTTCACTATCAGCATTGATACAATGTCAGTTACTTGAAACTGAAATGAAAAGAAATCTGTAACCACACAGGCATGTCGGCCACAATACACGATATACCTGCTAGACATTATTACTCAACTTTCGTATTAAAATCACAACACATTTTTCAAATGTCTTGAAGTAAAAAATACATCAAAGTCTCAGTCTGAACTTAAATGATCACCTTTATTTGCCAGGAGACAATAACGACACCCAGTTCTCCAGACCCAGAGACTTGGATCTTATCCAGTCAACACCACTAGAAGCCCTGTCGCTTAAAACTCCACCTAGAGTCCTGACGCTCACTGAGCGGCCTCTGGACTTCCTTGAAGAGGAGCAACGGGCAGCTCCAGAAAGTGAGGAGCTGGTAAGTGAATAAGCAATAAAGCAATAAACGTGTAATAGTAAAAACACTGCAAAAAATCCAGTTGTTGAACACAATCATGTCCATACTGTCAACCAAAACTGGAATACACTAAATGTCATTATTCCTTGCAGTTGCGGCCCCAAGCACGTGTACGGCGGGAACGCTCATCAAGTGAGAATGCAGCTGTACGTCAGAACAGTCAGCTGATGCGCAACGATTCTGCGTGAGTATTGGTCTAGATATGTCATTAATTTCCTAGTGCCGTCTCCATTTTTTCTCCTATATGCATGTTGCATGCTGCATCCTTCTTTTTGGTTTTATGGTTTCTTTTTTCCCTTTGTCATTAACGGAGCTGGTTGTCTATTATCACCAACGCTGCAAGCTGTTTTGTCGAAAGAACTTCTGCTGCTATCAGTGGTGATGCAGAATGTAGTTGGGTTTTTTTTAGCCTAATATATTAACATCATGATTTTAAACATTTGAGACACACTGGTAAAATGTTTAATGATTTTAAAATAGGTAGAATTGAATGAGCAATATCGCTGCTTAGTGTATAAACACAGTAGACAACCAGATTTGCTTCTCAGCAATACAGCAGGACATAAACAAAACATGGCCAATAAAACCAATGAAAGAAAATTACGAAGCTGGCCATATATTTTTGATACAATATTATTTATATATACTTGATTTGTCTTATTTGATGGAAAAAAAAAAGATTTTCACTGCAGTTTTATTGTTTAAGTAGAACATTTCATAAGTTGGAACATGGAATTTGAATATTAATTATGTAATTATGGGGCAACTGTTGCACTTTGTTGATGTACTCATCACTTTCTGCTAGACAGCTGCATTCAGCATCTCAGTACTATTGATGGGGTCACTGCTTCTCGTGGTGCTTGAATGGTGGTCATTCTTGAATAATCACAATTAGAATGATCTTGTACATTTTTGTTTCTTGTTGGGCACATTACACTCACCGCAGCATTCGATGGCAGGTTCAGTCTTTGGCTGTTTCTTTAATTTTCTTTCACACGGTTTTGCAAAGTCAGTTTAGGACAGTTTCTTTTCCTTATTTCTCTCCCTTTCCTTCCTCCTTCTCTCCTGTCCTCTTTTGTCTTTTTCTTCCCCCTTCCCTCTGCTTTTAACGGTGGGTACTGAGCAGTGCGACCCCGTCCCCCCCAGCCATTGTTCACCCATGTCCCCCTCTCACCGTGGCTGAAGATCACAACCTGTACAGCGCTAGTGGTGTTCTATCTTTCATCCAGTCCACTACACGTCGGGCCTACCAGCAGGTCCTGGAGGTCTTGGACGAAAACCCTCGCAGGTGACCTCTCGACCATCAACAGTTGACCTAACTGATATTGGTCAGTCAGGAAAATGCAGACTGCAGCAGATATCTTCCTGAAATACTAATCACATGTACTTGGTTTCTGCTCTGAAGCATCATGTGCTTAGAAAAGGGAAGAGGGTCGCATGATATCAGCTGTGTAATCTCAAATATTATGTGAACATTTTCTAGCTGACTTTTCTAACTTTCTGTAACAATATTAATACGCATGTAATAATCACGGACAACAAAGCAATGTTTTTTTAATGCACCATGCTAATATGTGGCTTTGGTTCAGGCCATTACTGCTACACATATCCCCCTTAAATAATAGCTATTGCAAGAGTGAACTGTCACTGATTTTTTTTTTTTTCTTTTCTGGTGGAAATTAGTAATATTTGAGTTTTACTAGGATGTGGCACTTAAGTTTTTAGTTTGGAAGAAAGTGGAAAACAAAAAAGACCAATATGAAGTGAACTAATTCTGTCTGCATATTTTTCTCCTTGAAGTTCAAAACTGCAGCAGTTTGAACTTTTGACTGTTTGCCTTCCTGAAAAAGTTAAAGCAGAATATATATATATATATATTTGTTAATCACAGATGTGTATTGATAACTTCTGTGCACCTCAAAAATATGATTCAGAAAACACTTTTCCACATTCTTAGGCTCCTGAAAACCAAAACTTTACAATAGTGATATATGTTACAAGGACAATAACAACTAAGCTAATTTAAGAGGACTTGTGTGAAATAAGACATCGTAAAGGCCAAGAAAGATTAGCTTGTTAGAAAATACGAAAAGTGTAGGTTTGCGAAGGACATGCAAGTTGTGTGCATGGATGCAACACTGTTTCTCTATATCTCTTTTTCCTTCTCCCAACTCTTTCTTTCCCCACTTCTTCAGCAAACCATCACTGCGAGGGGGGTCGGCTTCAAGCTCCAACCCCCTGCATGATTCCAGGTAACTTCACCTGGCACTTCATTCTGTTCCTCTTTCCTTGTCCTCATCCTTTCCTGCCTTGTGTTCTCATTATAGGTGAAAAATTAGGTTAAGTCCTGTCAGAAAAATTCTCTATGAAAATAATGTGTCTATTGTTAAATGTGCAGTACATCCTGAATGCGATGTATACATTTTGCACTCTGTTGTGACTGGTTGAATTATGTAATTCCTGAAGTAGCTCTTCTCTCTTTTCAAGGCTTGCTTTATCAACATATGAAGCCTCTCTGGAGGGGACAGCAGATGACATGACTGTGGTGGATGCGACAACACTTCGACGTCAGGTTAGTTCTTAATACATTATTTTGATCTTGAGAGCTAATCATAGAACCCCTGTGACTCAAAAAAACCAAACTCTGATTTGTCAACAGCTCATCAAGTTGAACCGGAGACTCCAACATTTGGAGGAAGAGAACAAGGAGCGAGCGAAACGAGAGCTGATCCTGTACTCTGTCACCGTTGCTTTCTGGCTGGTCAACACCTGGGTTTGGTTGCGACGTTAAGAGTTTGTCTGCAATTCAGCCATCAGCATGACATGAGAACGTATTATCCCTTATTCTATGTGTCAAATGTTAAGCTACTCGCTGCACTCCGCCCTTGTGTCAGGAGACCTTGGCATCTGCAAGGCCTGCTGCACACAGGGCTGATATTTTGATTTTTGTTTATTTAATACATGTACAGTTTTATTTTTTTACTCTTATTTCATCCCACTCCATTTTCTCGTGTTTGGTTTTTATTTCAGATCTTTTTGCCCACTGCTAAATATGACTTGTAAATATTTGTTCATGCCACTCAAGAGCTTTGAAAGGAACTCATCCAGAGATACAGTATAGCGTAGTTTACCAGAATAGGAAAATGGAGCTGCGGTGTGGAGACACGCAACTCCGTAATGGTAACATGTTGTATATTTATTGCAGAGAGAGTGATATGTGACTTGGATTGGGAAATCTAATACAGTTGAGTAAAACCATACCTATGATGTGTTGTCCTGTATTTTTGTTATTGCATTGAAAGAACCGGTGTGCCATATTTAGTGGCATCTTGCTGTTTTGTTGCAGTTTGCAACCAACTGAATACTTTGTAAGTTCCAGAACCTACAGTTCTACACAAATGTTTGATTTGTCTATTCTGGGCTACTGTAGTAATCTGGCATGGCAACACGGCGGGCTCCATGGAAGAGGAGTACATGTGATATGGTCCATTCTAAGCTAATGAAAACATGATTTGAATTTCCAGGGGATTACTCGGTAATGAAATCATGATTATGAATGCTATATTCCATTTCTGCTAATAGAAAACCTTACGATCCTGCACACTGGTCCTGAAACAGAATGAACATATCACTGTCATTTTGCAGTTTTATTAAGGAGATACATCTCAAACACATTTAACAATTGTTTTCATTAGATTTTTCAACACAGAACACAGTTTCTCTTCAAAATAACACTTTAACCAGATAAAGATGTATTCTACAAAAGTTAGAATGACAACCCTTAACGTATATGAAAGGCAATAAATTACCTCTCGCTATTTTTAACCAGCTAAATATTCATTTTTTAAATTTAAGCTGTTCCCTGACTGAGCACTTGTGATCTAACACACAATTTTTGGCTGTGAGCATTACATTTTATTTGACGCTGGTATTTTTAAGGCTTATCTTGCTAAAAACAAACAAACAAAAAAAAAAAAAACAGTGCTCTTAAAACATTATTCGAGCTCCTCAATCAGGCAGCGTGGTGGAGATGAGGTTTGGTTTGTTTTTGATTTTAGGGGATGGGAAAACTCATCATCCTCATCCTCTGGATACACCAGTGACAAAGAATTGCTGGAGACACCAGCTGATTTGCAGTCACTCATTAAGAACAAAGACTTCCTTTCTGGACCAAAGGTGGAGATGCCGTCACTCTGATTCTCTGTTGGTTCTTCCTCATCACTGTCTCCTGATATGACTTCTATTTTTGGTTTGAACACCTGCTGGGAGGAGAACCTTGCAGGAAAATCTTCTGTTTCTACATCTTCCAAGTCAGGCAGGTCATCAATACACAGCTCACGATTTAGTGGAAGCTGAATGGTTTCCAGCTCTGTGTCCTCCAGCTCTGTAACCAGCGGCCCAGGTCCGTGTACTGGTACAACCTTGTCTGCTTCAGGTAGAGGTGCCCTGATCAGAGGCTGTTTGTTCTCAAACTTCTCTCTCTCTGCTTCATTTCTCATTAACTGAATTCCACTTGACTGGTTTTGCTGTTTGTTATCTTGTACTTTCTCTGTCTCTAATATCTTCTCTTCTGTACCTTCTTGCTCTTGTGCAGGCTCCTCTGGATTCACTCTTTCTTTCTCTTCCCTCACAGCCTGCTCTATCTCTGATTGGTCCTTGTCATCTTTCTCTAGCTGCTCTGTCTGCAGCACTTCACCTCTCTGCTCTGATTCTAGATGTTCATTGGGGCCTTGGTTAGACTGACTCTGCAAGAACTCTTCGTTGGCATCCAGACAGTCCTTCACAAAAGCTTCAATCTTCTTCTCTTCGGAAGAAGCCAAAATCTGGGGGTCGTTTTCCTCACAAGGACTCTCTGGAGTGGTGGGAGCATCAGTTTCTCCTAAAATGAAGCAGTTACACAGTTTAAAGATGCAAATCCACATTTATCACGAGTATGCACACTATGATAGTAAGTGACATATGTTAAAGAAAGTGTTCACCTTTTTCCTTTAGTTCTCGAAGGCGTCGTCTCTCCTGAGCCTTTTTTCGAATCATTTCCATTCCCTCCAAGCTGTTCTGAATTATCCTCCTCTCCCGGGTTTCCCACTGCTCCCTCTCCTTGCGCTCCCCTTCCAGCCCTCCCACTGCCCAAGCCTCCGCACATGCCCTGTCTTTAGGAAACACGGGGCGATCATCAAGGAAAGTGAGCTGCTTGAGGCGCACAATCATGGTCTTTCTGTAGTTTGGGATTTTTTTCACCACCTCATTTCCCATCAGATTCAGGATTCGCAGTTCTGGCATGGCCTCGAGCACAGGAAGGATCTCTGGGTCACAAAACAGGTTGTGAGACATGTCCAATGCACTAATGGCCGGACACTGATTCAAATGCTCGATGTCCCTCACAGTTTTCAGCTTGTTATGGGCAATCTGCAGAGTGCTGAGCTCAGGAAGGCAGGAGATGTTCTCTATGGTGTGTATGTAGTTGTTGGAGACATTCAGGGTGCAGAGCTTTTTCAAAGGTTTGAAGTTCTCCAGCTTGTGTATGAGGTTCTGCTGAAGGAACAAGCAGCGCAGGTCAGTCTGGGCATCCAGGTTCTCAATGCGCTGGAGGCCATTACTTTCCAGCCAGAGACACTTCAGTCCTGTGTACTCTTCTAAGTTCTCAATGGTGGAGAAACCTTTAAAATGCAGATACAGTGTGTCATTCAGACAAGGTGTGGCGTACAGTTTATTCTGCTTACAGTGGTCCTTCAGGAACTTCTTGGTCATTCGTGGCCCTGAATTTTTTTCTTTTTTCTCTTGAGGTGAACTTTCCAATTCTCTCCTGTATTCCAGGTCTTCTTGAGCTCCATCCTTAATTAAGGCATTTCTGTCAGAACTTCCCTGGCCATCTTCTCCTTGCACTTCAGTCGCCACTTTATCTTCCATCTTTTCGAAGAATTCTAAAAAAAAAAAAAAAAAAAAAAGACCAAAAAGCAAATATCGAGCAGAAGAAACCGAAGTTATATTTCCTGTTTGTGATATGTTTAATGGCAGTTTCTTTTTCAATTGTCTAAAAGAAAAATACCACTCAACTGTTCGCTCCGTTAGCCGACGTTAGTTACCGTGTATGTTTGTCTCCATGGTAACGCTTGGTCATTACGTTACGGCCGACTTCGTTTAGAGACCGGATGTAGTTTGTTGTTCCGCGTCGGGCGCTTTTTGCTGCTGCACTCTGCTGTCACTGGATCAACATGGCGGCGGGGTACATACTAAATCGTGGTGCGCTAACATTAGGAATTCACTGCCAGCGTGTTGGCAGAAATGTTTCGTTAATGCAGGTCAGAGAGAAGAAGCGATGGATGAGAGCGTACGAATACCTCATGGCCAGAAAGCTAAAGCTTGAAGGACCTCCGCCGCCGAAGCCACGGTAACGTTAGCATTCACAGAGAGCATCTCAAGGCCATTAATGTATTTAAGGTAGAAGCTGGTATTTGTTTATTCGTTTTAGCAGAATGGGTAAGATTCCTAAACAATTCAACTTCAACAATTTCCTTGAGGTTCTACCAAAGGGATCAGTAAAGTTCCATCTATCTATCTATCTATCTATCTATCTATCTATCTATCTATCTATCTATCTATCTATCTATCTATCTAAACACAACATTATTTATGTTAACATTTAACACGTTTACAGTGCAGATTTTTTTTTTAGCAGCGTGTGTTTTTAAAGTTTAGCAAATGAAACCAGTAGTGTAGCTAGCCATTATGGCTCCTTTCCCCAGGTGGAGAAAAGTCTTGTTTCTCCTCTAGTCTATGTGACAAGCACGTTTTGATAAAATGTGTCATTATGTCATTATTTTGCATTTAAAAATTTTACATTTGCTAACATTTGAACTGTTAAGTTTTGCCCGTAACCATCAAAAATACTATCCTGTACGAAAAGTATTAACCATCGTGGTGTACAGGTAAAGCCATTTTCAGAAATGAGATGCATAATAACGACTTCATCTGTCCGTTAAAGTGACAGTATTCTGTCATTCAGACGTGGATCACTTACACGTTAATGCTCCTCACACATACTCATGACAGTGATGGAGATGCAAGAGTGACACACAGCACCAAGTGATGCGTAATTCTTAAAAATGCAGTGATAAATACAAGACTTAATGTAAACTAACCACAAGCTCATCAAACTGTCCCAATAACTACTTAAGTTTCGTTTATTTATGATTCTTAAACACTCAAAGATCTGTCCATTTGTGATAAGAATCTAATGACCACTTTACCAACAGTATAATAAATATATCAAAAGCTGTGATGGAGATCAGGACTGAACCTGAAGACGGCATGCTGTGAAACAAATGATTTAACTGCAGTTAATAAACTGTGAATCTCTGTGTGCCAATTTAACTATCTAAAGTGTCAAAAAGCACACAGTTTGACTTGCTGTTAGATCATGACCATTCCTGTCTCCAGTTCAGAGGTAATTTAGAATTATCAGTAAGTAGTGAAGTTGTCTGCATGGTTTTTATGGAAAAGTGAAACAGGTCTAATTAAAAATGCCTATATAGATTTAACATGCATTACACTAGACGTGGTATTTTTTGCATTACTTTTTTTGCCTCTCAGACATACTTTTTTTCTCAGTATATATGACCCAGTTTACAATGTTTCTGTGGAGGAAGTCAGGACTAAGAGTTCCACATTTGACTGTATTTCAGGTACCAACAGCCTAATTGGGATTACCATGCAGAAGTTCAGGCTTTCAACACCCGCCTCCAAGAGAACATCTCCCTGGAGTTACTGAAAACAGCCTTCATCAACCCTTGTTACCTGCAGGTGGAGCAAGAGAGGAGAAAGGGGTTAGGTGTGGACTCTGAAGTCACTGCTCTTCTTCTGAAAGATAATATTCAGCTGAGTGAAAAGGGAGCAAATTTCACCAAAAGCTTCCTTACCGACTGGTGCAGGGCAAGCTTCCCCAGCCTGCCGCATGAGGGGGTGGAGAGTGTTGTTGGGCACCTTACCAGTCCAGCTGTAGTGACTTATGTAGCAAGAAATCTTGGCATCGAAGAGCTAACCATGAGTGCAGAATTCCCTGTTCCCGATGATGTGCTCCATTCTACATTCATGGCGGTGATAGGCGCACTACAGGAAAACAGCGGAGCTGAGCGGACTGGATTGTTTCTCAGGGTAAGAGATTTGCTGAGCAGTATTACGGGCACTCAATATTTTCTTTAAAGAAACTATCATTTGTCCACCCTAAGACTCTTTAGTTGGCTTTATTGTTTACATAGTAGTATGACATTTTTCTTTTTCCTTTTCTCTACCTCCATCTTCTTTCTTCTTGCCAGGATTTCCTGGTGACTCAGCTGATAGGAAAGGATCTGTTTGATATGTGGACTGTGGTCAACCCCATGGGACTACTAGTGGAGGAGCTTAGTAAGAAGAACACTGCTCTGCCAGAGCCTCGCCTCATTAGGTCTGCTGGAGCCAGCACCGTCCTGCCACTGTATTTTGTTGGCTTGTACAGGTATGCATGCTGTATGATAAATTAAGATTTTTAAATGAATAAAACATTTGGGGAAAAGGCTAACATGATGTAAAAATGGAGTCACATTAAGTTACACGTGAAATTCGAGTGATATGCAAACAACTGATTATACACTTGATTCTAAAACGTTCTATTTGTATGATCTTCATCAACATTTTTTTTTTCTTCTTCTTTTTTTGTCTTGTCTCTGTTCACCTCTATGTCAATACAGTGACAAGAAGCTTCTGGCTCAGGGTCCAGGAGAGACAGTTGTAGCAGCTGAGGAAGAAGCAGCTCGTGTGGCCCTCCGGAAACTTTATGGCTACACTGAGAACCGCAGACCCGTTGACTTTTCTCCTCAACATCAGCATCAACAGCCATTAATTCAATCAGCCAGCAGCAATTAACGAAGTGACAACTCTTATGATGAGGCATAAAATCATTTAAAGAGGGTGAAGTTGGACGGAAATGTCATTTGCAGACTGTAGACTTGCCATAAATTGTAGAGAGAAAATAAAAGGAAAAGGAGGCCACCATTTACCGTATTAAACTTTAGCACACTTGTCAGAGTTGATTCTGTTGGCTATTTAAATGTCAGTTTCAACAGACAAAGGAGACCAACACAAGCCTTTATGTCCAAATACATAGCATGGGCTTACTTAGACTAATAATTTACAGGTTCAAAGATCCATTGCACAAAGTAGACCTGATAGCTGGTTGTCCCCTTGTAAATTATACAATTGCCATTTGGTTTACTTTGTATTCTGTTATTCATCTGTAATAAAAATATAAGTATGTGTACATTCTGATTTTGCTCATTTTAATTTCTTTTACTATGTATGCTCCTTTGAGAAATGAATGCATGAATATAAACTTGATGTCAACATTTAATGTGGCACACTACTTGTATGTATTCTGCAGGTTATGGGGTAAAGATTTTAAGATTTCACATAAAGAGTTTTAGGGATATCATTGCTTAGTGGCAGATTTCTTTCACACATATACGTAGAAAACAATTAACTGACATGTTTTTTTATTTATTTTTCCTTTATTTAACCAGGTGGGTTAATTGAGAACAGATTCTCGTTTACAATAACGACCTGGCCAAGAGGCAGCACAGAGCAGAAAATACAATAAAGGCAATACATCCATAAAAAATAATACACAAACAAAACATAACAATGAAAGGCTTTGAAGATAAAATACACTAAAAGCAGGTACAGGACTCAGTAAATAGTTCCTTCACCATATTTTTAAAAGAAGATAAAGATAAAGAACATGTTCTTCTTCTCCAAATCTGAGGTCAAACAGAAATACATTCATCCTTTAGAAATTATTCAAAGGACGATCACAGAGAGTAGGTCTGTAGGACTGACCTCACAAACCACCATTCTTTTGGGAAAGAGAAGTTTTGTTATTTTAGTTCACCATTATTTATACAGCAAAATTCAAGCAACAGCTACTGAACCAAAGTACTTCTCTGGAGAGAAACAAGACTGTTATGAATTTACTTAACAAGTTTAAATATTGAGGTTATGAACCCAAAGTAAGATCTATGGTCTGACTTTATCTGATTGATCTAAAAAAAAACATGGTTGAACCCCAACACAATTATATAAAACACAAATGTACTTAAGTAAATGTTAAGGCTACAATGCTACAGTGTTATTAATTCCAGAGATTAACACGAGAAATTCAAAATAAATGTAGGATAATACAAAAATACTAATTGAAATCCATGGACTGTCCAATGATTCCCTATAAGCAAGCATATTTGTAACTAAGGGGGGAGTCAATACTTTAAAAAAACAAACACATCTAGAAGCGTATTACATGCATTTCAGCTGCATTACTTATCACATGTCGTGTCTTGTACATATTTTGTGGAACTGAAAGCCGCATTACATCAATAAGTTGATCATCAGACAGTGGTGCCACCTTTTCCACATAGTGCTGCAGTGACAGTGATAATCCGCATGGTGGCGCTGGTGTGTTAAAGAAAGGCTTGTAGCAGTCTGCGCTGTCATGAGTGCAACCAAAGAGTGAAGGAGACAAAATAGTTCAAACGCATTTCTAACCGTCGGAATCCGTTGTTTCAGACTGGAAATTCCGTGAACAAATTACTCCGTTTGTTATGTTAATAGTTTCCCGTATTCCTCACAATCTGAACTGCAGATAAATAAATATATAGAGTGGTTATTGCAGGTATATAAATTTGATATCTTTCATTTAAACGTGCATACTGCGCAGCAAACACACGACATCTGAGCAATACTATAGTTGCATGCCAATACTGTGTTCTAATAATGCTACCTTAGATAACATTAGATGAAGAATCGCGACTCTCTCGTGGAAATATTGGAATAAAAGGCATTCCTATTTGGCGCTGACCCAAAAAGAAGCGATGTGGTCCGCATAACGGGATTTAAACGAAGGCGGAAGTGCTCGACGGGACAGCTCTTGCTCCGTCAGCGGACCTGACCCTCAGTCTGTAACTCCTTGTTCGAGGAGACGCGAGGCCGCCCTGACAACAGAGCTCCCTACCCATCCCCTCTCCGCCTTCAGCACGAGTCGGCAACCGTTAAAAAAGCACAAGCCTTTTGTTTTACTTATAGCTGACCTCTCGGTCTCTCCCCGGGTTCATTTAATCCTGCTGTGTATCCTTCACCATGGCGGCGAGTGCGAAACGAAAACAGGAGGAGAAACACCTGAAGATGCTGAGAGAAATGACGAGTTTGCCTCCCAATAGAAAGTGCTTTGACTGCGACCAGCGCGGCCCAACCTATGCCAACATGACCGTGGGCTCCTTCGTGTGCACCTCCTGCTCCGGCATCCTGTAAGTGTATTAAGTTGCACAGTGACCTTAGCTTAGACATGGCGCACATGATAACGTTTTATCGGCTACACGGGGCGAACTGAACCAGTTAGCCGCCTAGCGCAAGCTAACGGTAGATAGATAACAGGTAACAGGCTGGAGTCAGTGCGAGTTTAGCGGTTTTGACATTGTCTTTGCTGTGCTCGTGCTGGGTGGGGTACGTGGAGGTGTCAGCGTTCAGTAAAGCGAACCCTAGCTACCACCCGACATGCTAGCTGACTTTAGCTTGCACTGTTAGCCGGTGAACTTATCTGACTCTTGCAAGCTAGGTCTACAGATAAGCCAATGGGCAGCTGCTGCTACCAGTTGCTGTTAACATTGGGAACCACCACCTTGTTACTGACGTAGTTGACTTGAGCTAACCAGTTGACTATGAACCCTCACAGAAAAAGACGCATGAATGCATATTTAAATTGCATCATTATACTCAATAGCACCATGGAAGAGTTACCATTTACATTTTCCTTGCAAGCCTGATAGTAGACATGATATGCAACTGATAATGTAATATCAGTATTCATGCCATCAGCAGCTCTATTTAGTTCAGTCTTCTATTTTTTAAATCAGATGTAGAAGTATTAACGTTACCCCTGTCAGTCTTTGGCAAAAAAAAAAAAATATCAGCAAGACTTTCACTTGACAAAAACCCTTTGAATGAATTCCCTCGTCTGCAGTTTACCTCCTACGACAGTTTCAAAAACCTATCCACTGCACAGACAGCTTCAGTGTAGCTGGCTGTTTTGACTCTAGATAGCGTTTTTGCCTGACTTAAAGCTTTGCTGTACAGTTGTGTAACCAAGCATCTGTAGCTCGGGATTTGGGATTAGTAAAGCATTCCATTTCTTCTTATTCAGCTACAGATATCCCACCTCATTTCAGCTGTCAACTTTTTCATTGTAAAAAAAAAGGTTTTGTTTTGTGAGTATATGTGACGCTGGCCACATTTAGAGAGAAATCCAAAGTGGTACAATGGAGTAATTGCATTTTATTGCTTCATTCTCCAAAAGTTTTGAATCAGTTGCAGAATAAATGATGAATTATCATACAGCATAGATGCCTCCCTGTTGTTACCTATGTTGCATGACATTGTGCTAATCTGTACGTAGTCATTCTCATCTGAAGGATTGTGAGCTAAGTGCGCTGATGTTTGTTTTGTTCAAAAATCCTGTATCAGCTGCTTAAAATGAATGCACAGCAGTTTCCCGTCTGTACACCAGTGTTGCACAGATGATTTCTGATGCATGCTTGTATCTTTAGATCTCTGTTGCAAACATGGAATCATCACCATCTTTGTTAAAATTAGAACTTCTGGTGCGCAAAGTGTACCTTTTTTTTATCAGCTTGTATGTTATTTTCTTATTATAAGCCTCTTTAAGTAAAAGCATTCGAAAAGAGCAAATTGACAGTGGACTATTAGCAGGAAACCCAATAAACTGTTTTCCCATCCGTCCTGTTGTGCTCATTGCAGTCAGCAGCCTGCACCACTCCTTTTTAATGCTTTATGGAAATCACCTTTCCGTTCTCCATTTATGAATAATGATTATTATAAAGATGTTGCAGGAGAAAGGGAGGGTATTTGTTCCTCTCTAAGTCCTCACTGATCAGGTTTTAATGTTCTTAGAGAGTGGAGTAGATGACTGCTTGGACACATTTTTATACTTTGACTAAAACACAGCCCTTGTTTTTCTAGGTTTGTGACCTTAATCTGTGCAATTTTTTTTTAGCTGTCTCCACTTTGAACATGAGGGTTATTTACTGTAGCACTGAAAAGAATGAGATTAATTGCATGTTTGCTGATGGGCAAAGTTTGCCCTCTATTTCACTTCACCAGTGGGTCTGTGGGGATTCCACCATGAATTTCCCATCTGCTTGCCCTATGGTATTAAAGTCTGCAATGTGAGTTAATTGAGTTCTTTTATAGCTTTAAATCACAATGCGCAATACTCAGTCTTTCTCTTCTCCCGTCTTTCTCGTCGACATTTGATTAAGACAAACATGTTTGGGAGGGAATTACAGTCGAGTGTGGCTTCGAAAGGATTGATGTGTGTCTGATATATGCAGGAAGCCTGGTGTGATTGTAGGCTCAGGAAGTGGTATGGCCCCACTGTGCTGCTACATCAGCAGCATGTGATGTTGCATGTGTGCAACAGGAAGCAGCAGAGAGGTCACTGTCTGTCTCTCTCATTCCTTTTAATTCTAGAGAGGCAAGTGTTTTGGCATTGTAGGAGAGCACTTCAAAATTCATGCTCAGACATGATGAGCTGTTTTAGTTACTGTCTTGACTAACTTTTGCAACTGTTTTATGAATAAAAGTTGCTTTATTTTGTGCAAGTAAGACAAAGCAAAATCTTTCAATACAGATACATACCTGTGTATATTTTGTACCATTTTAAGATGTTGCTGGTTCAAATGAAGCCTTTTAACTTTTTAATTGTACATTTGACAGGTGACATTGCTGACACAGTCATAGAATTGCTCTTTAATCTGTAAGATTCCATTTTTTCATTTCCAGTTTGGACAGTAATTGTGTTGACTTGTTTCGGGGGAATGGCAGGGGCTCGACTACCTATCTCGTAACAACCTTCTCCCCCCATAGTTGTGGTTGTTTAATGGGTGGAGTTGGAATTTGCTATGTAAACACATTCCTTATGAAGGTGGAGGCCTTCCCAAGAGAAACGCCACTTACAATGTTTCTTTCTGCAGAATCGCTCCTGGCAGGAAGTAACCCCACTTGGCCTATGTGTTCCTGAGTAAGCAGGGCTACAACAGTGACGTACCAAAGGTGTGAAAGCGTCACAGACACCAAATGTCTTGGATAATAGAAATTATTGGCTAGTTATCAGACCTGACTGGCGTGACTTGGCAGAAATCCTGATTGAAAAGTAAGCAATGAATAAAGGATTACGAATTGGCATTTTCTGTGATACAAGTTGC